TATAATCATGTATTTAAAAATTTTCTTTAAATATATTATTTTTTAAGTGTGTTAATTAAAATTTGTCAAATCTATGATAGAAAAAATTAACATTTCCCAGTTCAGAAACTAAAAGATGATTTTAATGCAAAATTGCAAGAAATGTGGATAAATATTGATATGAGGTCTTTCCAGAATAGTTAACACTGATATTGATTTTAAACCAGTTTTTTTTTATAAGATTAGAAAATTCCACTTTAAAGACAATAATGACAATAATATCTAACATGTGTTTATGCCATTATAATTATGTTTTTACATTTGATTATACAAAAATTATAGTCATTTATCTTAGATGTCTTACATGTATTTTGGAGAAAAAAAACAGGAAATTTTAAATACATGTAAATATTGCATACATCTGCATTTTTGTTATTTACCCTGAGGCCCTCTTATCAGCAGGGGACTAGTATAAATACCAATACACAGCATGACTTGAGACTGTCCTCTTGTATAAAAGCATTCCCTTTATACATTAAATTTTTAATATAGAAATCTTAAATAAAGTTATCAATTTTATTTATTTCATGCACAGATATATAAACTTATATTTAGCTCCATGATTTCTTTGAAAATTTTTAATTATTTATATCTTTAAAAAGTATGCAAGCATTTCATGGTTGAAAAACATAATATCACAGTATATGGATTGTTTTAAAATCAATGAATTAATATTCTCTTTCAATCTTGAACATGAGGAATTGCCTCTTAAGTTATATATTATTATGCAGAGTGGCAAGAATTGTGGATAAATATAGAAAATTCCGCTTTAGAGACAATAATATCTAATACTAGTATGCATTTATGCCATTGTGATTCTTTTTGTATATTTGATTATACAAAAATTATGGTCATTTATCTATATGACTAACTAGCCTGAGTGCCAACGCCTGATGAATCCCAGGCTTATGTCTAACATGCATTTTGAAAAAACCAGGGAATTTCAATGCATACTTATAATCTGCAAAATTGACTGTACTTTGTTGTTTACCCTGAGGCCCTCTTATCAGCAGGAGATTGGTATAATGAAAACAGTCCCTCTCAGAAAATACCAATACACAGCATGACTTGAGATTTTCCTCTTCAATAAAAGTATCCCCTTTATACATTAAATTTTTAATATTGAAATCATGAATAAAGTTATCAAATCTATTTATTTTATGGATAATATTTTAATCATTTATATGCAAGCATTACACAGTTGAATACTAAATTATCACAGTATATTGATTGTTTTAAAATCAATGTATACATACTCTTTCAATATTGAACATGAGGAATTGTCTCTAAGTTATATATTATAGAAATAATATTTTAGCTTAAATATAAACCTTTCCTTGATTTGTTTGAGCTTATGAAAAAAAAGTTTATGTTGTTACAAACTAAATTAATTGGGCCAGAATTATCACATTTATTTTCTTATTTGTACATTAGACAAATTAAAATCGTTATGGCCATTAAAAATAGCTTTAAAAACACTTGCGCAATTATCCATTACCGAGCATATTTAAATTTAACCTTATTAATTCTATAAATTTGATTTTAAGGGGTATTATTTTACACTTAGGTCTACAGTTAAATACTGGTTAATAAAAATATGATTACAATAAATAAATTTCTTTCTTTAACATGATATCACCTAAAATGTTAAAATTTACTTATCTATATTCATGAATAGGCCATATATTCCCAAAGTTTTTTTTTTCTTACAGCAGCTTAACAACAGATACCCCTGTCACTTGATATACAATTATCCAATAAACCATTTAGGTGTCACCTTCCCTGGCCAGCCTGGTCATATGGTCTAGTGCACTAGAAGTGCACACGGTGTGCACTTCTAGTTCAGCTCTAGTGCACTAGAAGTGCACAAGGGTGGGAAGTTTAGTGTGAACTCAACTGTACATACTCGATTTGACATGTTTAATAATTGTCTTATAACGGCGTTAAAACGAATCTATACTAACGAAATGAGATTTAAGTGCTTTCATTGTAAAACCACTCTTATCTAAATGTCCTTTAGTTTATTTCAAGAGCGATGTATATCACTTAAAATAGGAACGTTCTATAAAACGTGGTTTTGCGGTCTGATGCTTCCTCATTGTCGGTTACCCACGGTATATATTTCGTACATACTACATTATCTAATGCAGTGTGTACGGATTATAACCGTCGGTAACCGACGATGATGCTCCCTGCTCAATATATATGTGTGTCAAAAAGCCAGTTTCGCCACTTTTCCTTAACATTTTTCTTGCACTGCGGCGCCATTTTCAGTCCTGTACTCATGGGACACATCTCGTGGGAAAGCTAGGAACCTAAAGAGGACAACTAAGAGCGCCGACATCAACTTTCGGTCTAAAAACTGACAAACGCGCACACCACTAGGAAGCCTCCGGACATAGGTTTTCCGCCCGTCACATCATGAGTTTTGCTTCTAGACGCTTAAGATTGCACCAGTTTGTAGTCCAAACGCTGATCTATCACCCATGCACGTGCAAGTATTCCGGTAGTCCAAAGTGCCGGGCTTTATGTATCGTAGTCACACGCAGGAGAAACACTTACCCCTAACCGCTGTGGGTTCGACTCCCGACAGGGACTTTGGATTATTTCATGTGAGGAAGCTATCCAGCTAGCTTACAGAACGTCGGTGGTTCTACTCGGTTGCCTGTTCGTGCCTGAATAATGCACGGAAGGGCACCTCATGTCGTCCTCCACCAGTAAAGCTGGAATGTCACCATATGAACTACACTGTGTCGGTGTGACGTAAAACCCAATCAAACAGACAAACGCTGGGCAATAAAATTTCCTCGATTCAAGCTTCATTTTGATTGATTACTTTGCTGTTTTTCCTGAAGATACAACTAATGATACCAGCGTTCTATATGCTTTATCAGATGTTGTATATAACGGGTCTTCCGGTTTAAAATGCATCCTTTAGCAACATGTCTGTCAATCGAGTACCACTCTGATAGGAGCATGAGGGATGTTGCACTTGTGACATGAGGGATGTTGCACTTATGACATGTGGGATGTTGCACCTATGACATGTGGGATGTTGCACTTATGACATGAGGGATGTTGCACTTATGACATGAGGGATGTTGCACTTATGACATGAGGGATGTTGCACTTGTGACATGAGGGATGTTGCACTTATGACATGTGGGATGTTGCACTTATGACATATGGGATGTTGCACCTATGACATGTGGGATGTTGCACTTATGACATGAGGGATGTTGCACTTATGACATGAGGGATGTTGCACTTATGACATGAGGGATGTTGCACTTATGACATGTGGGATGTTGCACTTATGACATATGGGATGTTGCACCTATGACATGTGGGATGTTGCACTTATGACATATGGGATGTTGCACCTATGACATGAGGGATGTTGCACTTATGACATGAGGGATGTTGCACTTATGACATGTGGGATGTTGCACTTATTCATTATCCCTCAGGTACAGACTCAATCAAACCGAGTCTGTAGTTTACTATCAGCAAATATTTATTTACCTATTGAAGGTTTATTGTGATAAATAATGTAAAAATAAAAAAGAAAATAATTCATTACTTACTAATAATGTATTCTTTCCTATAATAAAGATATCATATAAAATTGGTAATTCAAAGTACAATTAAACTTAAACAGTTATCTGGGACATAAAAACACATTATGTACCAGACAAAAATATACAATTTCAAATATTTAAAAGTCAAATTAAAGTTGGCAAAAATAATAATTACCAAACTAAGTTGGTGTCCACAGGACACGGATGCTTTCTTGCCAGAATCTTACAAAATAGCTGAATATAGGTAGCAGTTATACATCCAAATTATTTGGATGTATAACTGCTACCTATATTCAGCTATTTTGTTTTCTGTTTACTAAATCAGGAGGTATAACTCGGCTGATCTCAAATATATTTGCTTAAAATAGATGCATAAGTCAAATGCTTATAACTAATCTTGGAAAGTTTCATAGTTATTGCAGTTGCACACGAAATTTAAGTTTTTTCTTTAACAGTAATAGCTAAAATAGCAAATATATATACCTCCTGTAACAATCAATTATTGCAAAGCCTAATTTATTTGTTTAATGTTATAACAACTTTTAAGTACCAACAATATTTTCAAGAACTTGTCATATATATTACAGTTATAGGATATACTATTAGTTATAAAGATCGTTGACAGGTTATAATATGGCCCTATATAAACGGCTATTTGTAAATATAACCAGAGCCGTTAGGCGAAGGTTATATTGCAAACCGCCGTTTATATAACGCCATATAACCTGTCAACAATCTTTATAACGAATTTATAATACAGCAAGCTTCATTTTTAGACAAAAAAGTAAGATTTCTTCACGAATCGACAGCAGCCGTGTATATAAAACTATATAAACGTCACGGTTATCCAATGAAAATTGACGTTACAAACGTGCAGTATTATAAACAAACTTATAAACAATGAATACATTAGATAGCACAATTATGAACTTTCTGTTATTTTAACTGAACAATATATATGTTTGCTATTTAACGTCAGAGCAAAACTCCAAAAAGGACACAAACTAAATTAGCCATCACACCTTACTGAGAAGACATATCTAAAGGTTAACAATAATAACAACAATATTGTCAATTGACATAAGCTATTCTTACAAACAACTCTTCTTAAATACTAAACTTTTATATAATAGCTAAATATGAATTATGAATTCATACCTAAAACTTGAACTACAGTAAAACAGAATTACATATGTACTGAATTTATTCAATAATTAGATGGCGATAGTTGTGACATAATTTGATATGTTGCAATAATATTTTCATTTATAACATTAAACTTTGAAAAAAACTCATATTAAGCACATACAACTGATAAAAAACAAAACTTACAATAAAAAAATAAACACACTGAATTTATGATACAACCGTTTTGCTAAAATAAATTAAAACAAGGAACATCGCAATGCGATGCAACCAGGTTTTCAGCAAAATATTTCACAGAAGCTTTGTCATGAAGGGGCATTTGTTTTTAATTGAACTTTTAGGAGGAATTATGGCTTTTTTAATATTCCTCAAACAAAAATAATTGAGAAATTTTATGTTGTCTATTCGCCTTTTTTTCCCCAAATGTTTTAGAAAGGTAAACAGTACTTTATTTTTGCTTAATTTTTGCATTTTTGCGTCTCTTGTCATTTTCTTTTGTCAACAATATTGGCGTGTGGTGTTTTGTGCGATATCAAGAAAAGTATGTTCACAATTTTAAAAAAATACTTGAATGATGTCTTGGAAGAAACATGGGAATTTAGTGAGCGCCAGGGCACTTGATGACAAAGCTTCTGTGAAAGTTTGGTCAAAATCCATTGAGAAATGTAGGAGAAGTTGCGCAATGTAGAAATTGTTCACTATATATTCTGTATAAGGAAAAAATATACAAAGGGCCATAATTCGGTCAAATATTATCCAATCACAAAACCCGGACAATATGTGCCAAGCACTTGATAACAAAGCTTCTAAGAAAGTTTGGTCAAAATCCGTTGAGAAATGTAGGAGGAGTTGAGCACAGAAGAAATTGTTCTCTATATATTCTGTATAAGGAAAAAATATACAAAGGGCCATAATGCGGTCAAATATTATCCAATCATAAAACCCCGACAATATGTGCCAGGCACTTGATAACAAAGCTTCTAAGAAAGTTTGGTCAAAATCCGTTGAGAAATGTAGGAGGAGTTGCGCACAGAAGAAATTGTTCACTATATATTCTATATAAGGAAAAATAACAAAGGGCCATAATTAGGTCAAATATATACCAATTGCAAAACCCTGGCAATATGTGTCAGGGCACTTGATGACAAAGCTTCTGAGAAAGTTTGGTCAAAATCCGTTGAGAAATGTAGGAGGAGTTGCGCACAGAAGAAATTGTTCACTATATATTTTATATAAGGAAAAAAAACAAAGGGCCATAATTAGGTCAAATATTATCTAATCACAAAACCCCGACAATATGCGCCAGGGCACTTGATGACAAAGCTTCTGTGAAAGTTTGGTCAAAATCCGTTGAGAAATGTAGGAGGAGTTGCGCACAGAAGAAATTGTTTACGCCCGCCCGTCCGCCCATCCGCCCGCCCGCCCGCCCGCCGACATACCTCAATCTAATAACCAGTTTTTTCCTTCGGAAAACCTGGTTAAATATACACACTGAATTTATGATACAACAATTTTGCTCAAATATACACACTGAATTTATGATACAACAATTTTGCTGAGTTAAAGCTGAACATATTTGAAACATCGATGGATATGATAATAATTATACAGCACTAAATATTGCTGTACTAAATATTGCTTCCCAGAGTAAACAGCACAACATGAACACATTTCAATTTATATTATATACATAGTATGATGCATAGAAACTATTTACAAATAATGTATTATAGACTAATTAAATGTGAGCTTCGTGGATAAGGAAATATAATCATGATCACAATAAGGCTTGAATACGAAATAGGTTACCTCCCTTCCATCATCAGTACATTAACAAAAGTGGAGATAAGGTGTAACTCAGTCGGCAATGCTGCAAAACGGTATTTTGACGGTACTGGGCTCAAATCTCGGTCAGGCTATATATTTTTTCTCACGGGACAGTTAAAAATATAATATTTACCATAAAACATTTACAATATTTACTGTATGTCGGAGTAATTTTTTTTACAGAAATGATTATGACATAAACTTGTATACAGCTTTAATTTAGGTGAACATGTGACAATTATGATTTTATATTGATACTCAAACGTCGACCACACCACACAGGTACTTTCATTACTTTCAACAAATATTGTTTTTATTCATTTTTGTTGAAGATCAAGATCTGTTATCCCATGAATACATCAAATTGTTTTGTTGGCAATACTACAAGTCTCATTATCACAGCTGTTTAAAAATGGCCATCAATAATTATAATCATGTTAAAATGTTAATTTTACAAACGAATCTATCCAGAGAAAGTATGCGTCATTAAGGCGAATCAAGTGGGAAGTCGACATAAGCGGTCTGTTTGCTATGCTTTCTGGTATACAGACATTGTACAGTAAGGGATCCTCTGAAATAAAGAAAAAAACATGTTTTACTATCAAGTTGCAAAGGCACTGAAGTAACATCGTTAACTTCACATCAATTTGTACCATTATTACATTGTAACTATAGAGCAATATTTTAATCTTTGTGTTTAACAATGAAATATTCAACTGATGGTTAAAGGCACATTATGCCTCAGAAATCCTTTTTTATTAAATTCTTTAGAAATGTAAAACACATGTTTAATAATGTTTTAATAATGGATTTAGAACATGTAAGATATTTAACAGCTGAAGAAAGTAGTGCTGAATGTGCAGTAATGTGTCGTAAAGGTAGCAAAATGTAAACAAATAGTATTTTGACTTCCATACAAAATACTAATTCATTATAATTATACCAATTGCCAGCAAAGCAAAAGATGCAAAGATAGTTCATTTATATGGCAAACAAGTATTTTTTTGTGGAACTTGTAACAAGACACCAAATATTTAAAATTTTGAGAAATAAAACTGATAGCATTTCTGACGCATAATGTGCCTTTAAAGAATTTCTGACACCAGAACTGACATATGCGGCATCAAAAATTGTATTTTCATAAGGGACTTTAAATGGCTTTTGGAATGGACATTGTCAAACACGGTAAGATGTCAGAAATTAGGGCGCCACATGTGATGTCAATTTGGAAAACGCTGCATGTCACACATTGAATCATTTCACTAAGGTCCTTACCGAAACACGAATAATCACTCAATTGTGGTATATTTTTCATTTACTTCTATTTACGGAAATTATTATTTTAATTAAACCTTTTTGAAATACTAGTAAACAACAACAGCAACAATCATACATTTCTACACTTAACATTACGATAATAGTTCAACGTAGTCAACTTTTCATAATATTATAAAAGGTATGCAAAACAAACGTGATTTTAATTATGTGATGTGATATATTATTTTTATTTTTTTTATTAACTTATTCAGCAATGTTAAAAGGAAATATTTTCCATTTATAGGCTGAATCAAACGGAGCCTGCCACATTTAAAATTTTGCCTTTTTGGGTGTTCTTCAAATAATTGAAATATTCTTTTGAAAAATAATAACCTGAAGTAGATCTATCCTTACTGATGTCGGGCATCGTGAAATAAAGACACGAGATACTATTCACTTACAGGTTCAAAATGCAGATTAACTTTTCATTTCAGTGACTTTCAGTGACTTTCTCATAAGCTATCGGCATATCTTCCTTACATGGAAGATTATCCTTACTCCCTGACAAAAGATTCAAAGGCGATGGCCGTGGTTTGAAATCTGTGACATTAACAAGTTGGCCATGGAGGGCCTAAATTATAATAATATATACATGTAGAACGAAATAAACAAAGACAGCGTTATTTTAACAAAAGGGCCAAGATGGCCTTAGATCGCTCACTTAGACTATGATCCTGACCAAGTTTGATGGCAAAAATGAGCAAAAATGTGACCACTAGAGAGTTAACAAGGTTTTTCAATATTCGGGCGGTGTGACCTAGTTTTTGACTCCAGGTGACCCATATTCGATCTTGTCCTAGAAGTCATCAAAACAAACTTTCAGACCAATTTCAAGGACATTCGGATCAAAACAGTTGCCACTAGAGTGTTGACAAGTTTTTTTCTATTTTTAGCTCCTGTGACCTAGTTTTTCATCCTAGATGACCACTGTTTGAACTCATCTGAGCAATTACCTCAAAGGGGTTGTAACGGTGCCTGGACTCTTTATTGGGGTTATTTGTGACCAAAACTAGGTCCAGACCCCAAAAAAACAGGTGACAATCCTTATATATAGACCAAAACTAGGTCCAATCCTTATATATAGTAGGTCCAGACCCAAAATAAACAGGTGACAATCCTTATATATAGTCTATATATAAGGATTGTCACCTGTTTTTTGGGTCTGGACCTAGTTTTGGTCACAAATAACCCGAATATAGAGTCCAGGCACAGTTACAACCCCCTTTGAATTACCTAGACAAACATCCTGACACAGTTTGATGATGATTAAGGAAAACGTGTGACCACTAGAGTGTTAACCAACAATGTGGACGTGACAGACGACGGAAATTCATGAAGGTGAAAAATGTGAACTGAACATGAAAAGTTGAAATGTCCTCATCAGTCTTTCATACAGAAAATATAAACTTCCACTACTCTGTGAATATAGTTAGCATGTTTTGGTGACAAAACAGCGCGAGATAATTAATAGTTAAAACTCGGGAATAAGCTGTTGAGACCAACCTTTATTAGATTTACTTCAAAATCTAAAAAGTTGAAATTTCCTTAGGATGGTTAAAAATGCAAGAACAACACATGCGGTGTGTGTTCAAGCTTGTCTGTTAAAATAACCACCTTTGGCAAAAATTATGCCCCTTGTCTCACAACTGCACCTTGTCATGATAAGCAAGTATTCAAAGTTTCATATTGATACTTTTACTAGTAACAGCATTAAAGTTTTTTAATGATGACAGCATCACAGCAATTGCTTGACTTTTTCCTTCGAAACAGACGAGCTAAAATGGTGCAGAAGTATATACCTTGTGTAGATAGTATAGTTTTACAGTTATTACTATCGGACATATAACAGACCCTAATTAAAAGGAATACACGTAAAGCACAAAGAGGTACAAGTAAAAATAACTTACTTAGTTTGTCATACAGGTGCACAGGTGGAGTAGTAACATGTACATATCTATTAAAGTGCACTGAAACGAAGAAAAAATATTCACTGTAGTGTTGTACTGTTAAAAATTGTATATAGACTGGCTTTACTATGGATAACAAGAGGGCCATGATGGCCCTGAGGTTGCTCACCTGTATATAGGCCCCCCACGACCCAACTTTGCAGGGCCAATTTAACCCAAGGGCTTTTATTTGCACAAACTCAGTAGACACCCATAAGAAGATGTTTCATGCTAAACATCTAAGCTCTAGCTCATTGGGCTTTATTGAAAGAAGATTTTTTTTTAAAGTTTTTACTATACACATATAGTTAAAATCAATGACCCCCGGGGCGGGGCCAATTTTGACCCCAGGTCTTTTATTTGAACAAACTTTGTAGACACTCACTAAAAGATGTTTCATGCTTAATATCTTAACTCTAGCTATTTGGGTTTTTTCAAAGAAGATTTTTTAAGTTTTTGCTATACACATATAAGGAAAATCAATGACCCCCGGGGCGGTGCCAATTTTGACCCCAGGGCTTTTATTTCAACAAACTTCGTAGACACCTATTAGAACATGTTTGATGCTAAATATCTTAGCCATAGCTCTTTGAGTTCTTTAAAAGAAGATTTTTTAAGTTTTTACTATATGCATATAGGGAAAATCAATGACCCCCCGGGGCGGGGCCAATTTTGACCCCAGGGCTTTTATTTGAACAAACTTGGTAGACACCCATTAGAACATGTTTCATGCTAAATATCTTAGCTCTAGCTCTTTTGGTTCTTTAAAAGAAGATTTCTTAAGTTTTTACTATATGCATATAGGGAAAATCAATGACCCCCCGGGGCGGGGCCAATTTTGACCCCAGGGCTTTTATTTGAACAAACTTGGTAGACACCCATTAGAACATGTTTCATGCTAAATATCTTAGCTCTAGCTCTTTTGGTTCTTTAAAAGAAGATTTCTTAAGTTTTTACTATATGCATATAGGGAAAATCAATGACCCCCCGGGGCGGGGCCAATTTTGACCCCAGGGCTTTTATTTGAACAAACTTGGTAGACACCTATTAGAACATGTTTCATGCTAAATATCTTAGCTGTAGCTCTTTTGGTTCTTTAAAAGAAGATTTTTTAAGTTTTTACTATATGTATATAGGGAAAATCAATGACCCCCCGGGGCGGGGCCAATTTTGACCCCAGGGCTTTTATTTGAACAAACTTGGTGGACACTCACTAGAAGATGTTTCATGCCAAATATCTAAGCTCTAGCTCTTATGGTTTTTTAAAAGAAGATATTTAAAGTTTTTTCTTTTGGTTGCCATGGCAACCAGAGTTCTGCATGGAATTAAATTCTTTGAACAATTTTTAAAGGTGACCACCAAAGGAACATTCCTGTGAAGTTTGGATGAAATTGGCTAAGTGGTTTATGAGGAGATGTCATTTAAAGTAAAAGTTTACGGACGGACGGACGTTCTCACAGGACAGTAATTATGTGGCTACTCTATTGTTCTCTCTATTGTTCTTTTTAGCCACGCAAAAGAAAATAGCCACATAAAAGCATTACGGAATGAATGACATCAAAGAGAACCTATTGTCCCTCTAGCCACATAATTACTCTCCTGTGAGTGTGGACGGACGGACGCCGGACGAAAAGCGATCACAAAAGCTCACCCTGTCACTTTGTGACAGGTGAGCTAAAAATGGGTACGTTGAAGACCTTAAACTAAATTCTGTATTCAAATAAATTAAATTTTAAAAAATTAATAATTTAACATCAAAATTAATAAATATAAATATAAAACTTTCAAAATTAGCTCCCTAAAAATAAATTAAATGCTGTAAAAATAAGAGTAAATACTACTGACCTTTTAACTTTCAACGCATAAGATCACTCATCACTTTATTTAGGATAATTCCATTGTGTGGTACATCAAAAATGACTCTCTTGTTCTCTTTCTAATTAAACTATTTTTTCAGGTAGGTGTTTATTAATTCCATTCATATCCTGACTATAAAACATTCACCTGAGAATATTGATTAAACAAGCAAATTCATTGAATTTATATCCCCCGCCGAGTACTGGTTATTACTAACACAACAACTGAAGACACAAATCTGAGTTATAAGTGTCTGACCGGAACAAGACGACTATATGCACATCTCCTCTTAGTATCCCATAAAGTTTCATTGAATTCCAGCCAGTAGTTACAGAGAAGTAGCACGGAAACGATTATTGCTCTGGTTGTATACTGCATAAGTTATCAAGGGCTATAACTCAAAGTTAAAATGTCTGAACCGAACAAGGCCACGGTATGCGCATCTCCTCTTGGTATTGAAGGTTCCAATAAAGTTTCATTGCATTCCAGCCAGTTTTTGCAGAGAAGTAGCGCAGAAACAAATATTTTTCTATATGCATACTGCATAACTAATCAAGGGCCATAACTCTGAGTTAAAATGTCTGACCCCAACATGGCAATGATATGCGCATCTTCTCTAGGTATTGAAGGTTTCCATAAAGTTTTGTTGAATTCCAACCAGCAGTTGCAGAGAAGTAGCGTGAAAATGATTTTTGCTTTATATGCATACTGCATAACTAACCAAGAGCCATAACTCTGAGTTAAAGTGTCTGACCCAAACAAGGTGACGATATGCGCATCTCCTCTTGGTATTGAAGGTTCTCATAAAGTTATGTTGAATTCCAGCCAGCAGTTGCAGAGAAGTAGCGCTGAAATCATTTTTGCTCTACATGCATACTGCATAACTAATCAAGGGCCATAACTCTGAGTAAAAGTGTCGGACCCAAACAAGGCGACGATATGCGCATCCCCTCTTGGTATTGAAGGTTCCCATAAAGTTTCATTGAATTCCAGCCAGTAGTTGCAGAGAAGTAGCGCGGAAACAATTTTTACTTTATATGCATACTGCATAACTAATCAAGGGCCATAACTCTGAGTTAAAGTGTCGGAATGGAACAAGCTGACGATATACACATCCCTCTTGATATTGAAGGTCCCCATAAAGTTTCGTTGAATTCCAGCCAGTAGTTTCAGAGAAGAAGCGCGGAAACGATTTTTACTCTATATGCATACTGCATAACTAATCAAGGGCCATAACTGAGTTAAAGTGTCAGAATAAAACAAGCAGACGATATGGGCATCCCCTCTTGATATTGAAGGTTCCCATAAAGTTTCGTTGAATTCCAGCCAGTAGTTGCAGAGAAGTAGCGCCGAAATTATTTTTACTCTATATGCATACTGCAAAACTAATCAAGGGCCATAACTCTGAGTTTAAGTGTCGGACTGGAACAAGCCGACGATATGCGCATCTCCTCTTGATATTGATGATTCCCATAAAGTTTTGTTGAATTCCAGCCAGTAGTTGCAGAGAACTACTCCGGAAACGAAATTTGGACGGATGGATGAACGGACCGACTGACGGACGGACGGACAACGCCAAAACTATATCCCCCTCCCGATTCCATTGGCGGGGAATAATAAAAAATGATGTCTATTTCACCTGTCATTTGTCTCATAATCTATTTATAAATTGTTTCAAGGTTACTCAGTACTTGTTGTTGTTTTAAACTCAAACACGTACGGTCCAGACTTCAAGGTGTCATCATGTGTGACCACAAAATTGTCTGATTGTTTTATAAATGTTTTAAAGTTTTCAAATTCTGTTTCTGGTTTTATATCACAACCTTGTATAAGTACTGTCACTGTATGTGGTAGTTTGTTTATAACAGTAATGAGATCATGTAACACTGAACAAGACATTGTTATATAATACAAGTCAACACGTTCAATATTGATCATTTGAGGTGACAGTGTTAATGATCTTTCACCTAGATTGATTCTCCACAACATAACATCTTTCACATGATATAACAATGATAATGTTTGTAACATTGTTTCTATGTCACTGGAAGATTCTAGATCACTACACATAAATGTTTGTAGTTTACTGGCTGCTGGTAGTTGACTGAGATAAGATGACACAACACCAGGTTTATATAATTTACCTACACCACATTCCTCTAACAACGATACATCCATGTTTAATTGTGACACAGGTATCAGGGTCAATCCTAAACATCTTAGTTGTGAATGTTGAGACAGGTCAAGGTTGAATCCCCTACATGAAGTATCATGATCACTACAGTATAAACTGCCCAATGATATTTCTTTCATTGATTTTTTACTAGTGAGGAAATTAAACAATGTCTCCATTACCTCGTGGCTCATAGTGAAACAGTTTATAAATAAACACTCCAGGTGTTGTAATTTTACCAGTCGTCCATTTATCTCTGCAGACAGCTGGCAAAGTTCTCCTACAAATTCATGATTTTCCCATTTACTTGATATCACAGTTAAACATTTTAAAGGCTTCAATAACAAGCTCATTATTTCCTCTTCTACAATTCCACCACGATAGAATAATTTCTCTATATGCGGAAGGTCAGAGAGTGTAAACAAACTGATAATTTCTTGTAGACTACAAACACCTTTATTTTCTATCATTATTGATTTTATGTTTTCTTTATTTTCTTGACATAGATGTTGTACTTGTTTGAAGTAGTTTTCTTGTTGACACTTTTCATTAATGAAGAAATCTTGTAAACATAATTTGAGGTCTTTGTTTTCGTGGCCTTCTTTGCTACAACAAATGTACATGTCTTGTATTTCGTGTAATGTATTATTGTACATGTAATCATAATCTGTCATAGTTCTGTATTTGCTTGCTATTTCATCATTGTTTATCACAGGCATCAAATCACTTGATATTGCAGACAATAATTTAGGGTTCATGTTACTGATGAAGACAAACACTTTTGACATGTCTAGAATATTTTGTAAGCAGTTGCACTCTTCAAAGATGATTTTCTGAACTTTACTTGTATTTTGAAAACTTATAAATATTGCTGAAAAGTATTCCTGCACTGTTTTATGTGAAAATGAGATTTTAAAACTTTCATTTATTAATGTTTTCACTTTACTTTTTGATAATATTCCTGATAGACAGCTTGATTTCAAATCTTCTTGGCTAAGATATTTTTCTGCAACATTTTCATTAAAAACTAATGTGTGCTCTTTTTTCTTACTGAACAATGTATTAAAAGC